GAATCTTTGCGGGAGACTCTCTGTGAATACTGCCTTCCATCAAAATGACAGCATTCTGATAGTTGTATCTTAGGCTTATGGTAACCCTGATCAACTTTATTTATCAGAGTGACCCTATCTATTTTCTATTTTCCAGAACATTGTCAAAATATCTGATCTGATATTCACGGCACTCTTTCTTATAGCATTAACATGCAGTTTTTCGATTTAAATAATATTGATGCCACTTCTAGAATATCCTTATAAGGAAGTGTCTGTTGTTTTGAACCACAAGCTCCACTGAATTGTTAAACTGATTAGTTTTGCATATGGCCAACATCATCTTTGATTTTGATTATTAGAGTTACCTACTAACTGATGCCCCTCCTTCTCTGTCTTCTCCCTGCTACAGTTTATAGTATATTATCAACACAGCATCTAGCTTTCCTTCTAAAACATAAATCCCTTGTTCAAAACCCTCCTTGGCTTTTCATTTCATCAAAGTAAAGTCCAAGAGTCTCATAATTTCTTCCATATCTCTGCATGATATTGTCTTCCATTACCTCTCTGACTCTACCCCTTTCTTCATGCACTCTGCTCCAACAATACTGGTGTACTTTCTACTGCTCTAACACACACCAGGAATGGTCCCACCTCAGATCTCTGTACTTGATATTCCCTTCACTTGCACACTCTCTTCTCTGATATAGCTGCAAGACTCATTTTGTCACTTCCTTCAAATCTCAGCTGAAATGTTAACTTATCGAGCAGGTTTTCACTAACAACTTTATTTAAAATTGCATCTCATCCAGAATTCCTAATTCATATTCTCTTTTGTAATAGAATAGAAAGGCCAGAAATAAACCCATACATATATGGTCAATTAATTTATGACAAAGGAACTAAGAATGTAAAATGGGGAAAAGACAGTTTTATCAGTAAATGGTGTTGAAAAAAGTGGACAGCACTTGCAAAAGAATGAAACTGGAGCACTCACTATCTTACATCATACACAGCAATCTATTCAAATGGGTTAAAAAGTCTACAACAAACTAAAAGTTCTCTGCATTGCAAAGTGAAACCATCAACAAAATGAAAAGCCAGCCTATGGAATGGGAGAAAATATTTGCAAATCATTTATCTGATAAAGGGTTCATATCCAAAATATATAAAGAACTCACGCTACTCAACAGCAAAAATCTGATTAAAAGTGGTCAGAGGATCTGAACATAATTTTCTCAAAGAAAACAGACACATGATGGCCAACAGACACATAAAAAGATGCTCAACATAACTAATAATCAGGTACATAAATGCAATCAAAACCGCAATGAGGTATCACTTCACACCTGTTAGAATAGCTATTATCATAAAGGCAAGAAATAACCAGGGTCAGCAAGGATGTGGAGAAAAGTGAACCCTTCCTTATGCACTGTTGGTGGGAATGTAAATTGGTGCCGCCACTATGGAGAACAGTATGGAGGCTCCTCAAAGAATTAAAAATAGAATTACCATATGATTCAGCAATTCCACTGTGGATATTTATCCAAAGGAAATGAAAGCACTGACTCGAAAAGATATATGCACCCCCATGTTCATCACAGCATTATTTATAGTAGCCAAGACATGGAAACAACCTAAGTGTCCATCAAGAGATGAATGGATAAAGAAAACGTGGTACATATATGCACAATGGAATACCATTCAACCATAAAAAGGAGATCCCATTTACAACATGGATGGATATGCTAAGTGAAGTAAGTCAGACAGAGAAAGACAAATACCATGACTGCACTTATAGGTGGAATCTAAAAAAAATGTGCTCACAGATACAAAGAATAGACTGGTGGTTGCCAGAGGTACAGGGTGTGGGAGGAGGGGTTGGTTAAATAGGTGAAGGGAGTCAAAAGGTACAAACATCCAGTTATAAAACAAATAAGTCCTGGGGATGTAATTTATAGCATGATGAATATAGTTAATAATAATGTATTGTACATTTGAAAGTTGCTAAGAGAGTTAATCTTAAAAGTTCTTATTATAAGAAAAAAATTTTAACTGTGTATTGATGGGTGTTAACTAGAGTTAGTAATCATTTCACAGTATATACAAAAATTGAGTCATGTTGTATACCTGAAAACTAATATAATGTCAATTATATCTCAATAAAATATTAAAATTACATCTCCCCCAGAATTCCTATCCCCTCTTCTCCTTTACCCTCATTTATTTTATTAGCATTGGCAACCATCTGATACACCATTGTTTTGCTATTTTGTATGTTTATTGTCTCTTTCCTTCTCAGTGGACCACAAACCTCATGAGGGCATGGCTTGCTTATCTTGTTCACCATAGTATTTCCAGCACCTGGAACAGTGCCAGGTATAGGGTAAGCATTCATGAAATATTTGCTGAATAAGTAAATAAGTAAAATAGAAAAGTATTGATGTTTCATACATTAATTCAAAACAGAACACCTTACTACAATATTTCATTGTTTCAGTTGGCTCTTTCGAATGATTTTTTTTTACAGTCACATCATCTGCAAGTAATTATAACTGCTTTCTCTTCTCCAATATTTATACCTTTTATTTTTCTATCTTTTCTAATTGCAGTATCTAGAATTTTTATAATATTAAATACTGATGGTGGTTTTTAGAATCCTTGCTTCATTCCTTACTTTCATTGGAATTCCTCTGATACTGTATAATTTAAGAGGACTCTGGTTAAGATTGGAAACAATAAGAAACACATACACACACACACACACACACACACACACACACAACCATTAGAAGACTATATTACCTCATACTTTAAGAAAAATTTTATCAAGAATTTTAGTAGGGTTTTATTAAATTATTTATTGGAATATACTAGCACGAGCCTGTGTCTTCTCACTTGACCTGTTAATATGATACATTACAAAAATAGATTTCTTAACAGCCAACACTCTGCATCCCAGGAATTAGCTTCACTTTGCTATGGTTTGCATAGTTTCTTTTTAATACACTGATGGATTATATATGCAGTGTTTTTTAAGACAACTTGCATTTATCTATCTATATATGTAAAACAGGTCTCTTAATTTTGTGTAATTTTAGTCAGGTTTGTTATTAATGTTATGTTGGCCTCATATAGAAAAGAGTAAAATTTACTCTATACTCTGAATCGGCTCAAAATTAAATATTCCCTGACAATGTGAAGTAATTTATGACACCACCAAGCCTAGCATGTCTATTATATGCTTATATGTTTAAATGCGTGATTTTCTTAGAGGAAAGAGCATATTAAAAAAATAGCTTTCACAATTTGTTAGGGTTAATGGTCTGTTCTGGTTTCTAATTTATTCTTGGAAAAAGTTTAGTTATTTAGTCTTCTGATAATTTTCACTCAGATGTTACATTTACCTGCCTAGCAAATAAATCTGTGCCTGTGATTATTTCTTCTTTCTTTCTTCTAATTCTTTGTATTTGTGCTCTTGTGATTGTGATGCTGAGGAAAGGAGCATCTTCCACCGGACACTTCCTTTGTCCTTTGGCAGCCTGGGAAAACTGGCAGAGACCCGCACCTGTGGCATTGAGGGAGGAACTCAAACACGAGCTAGTAGCAGCTGGTGATGAGGTGATACTTCACCTCTCTGAGGCTGCCAGGGCTTCAGCATGGCTGCCAGAGATGCCTGTGCCAGGAAGCTGTTGGGAGTGCTGGAGATATCTCAGACCAGTAGGCTAAATGGTCCAGAAATCACTGTGAGTCCTGCTTTGTAAATAAGGTCTGACTTTTCATTCTCCAAGAAGGTACCAGCAGTTGACCAATGAAACAGCTTAATTAGTGGACTGATGAGAAGTCCTAGGTAAATATTTAGGGAGAATATCTGGGAGAAAAACTGCCCTTTGCTATGGGGGTTAAGACTCCAAAATGATCATAAATTATTATAATTTAATTCAGTATTAAAGAAATATTTTGCTATCTCAGGCTTATGAGGTGATGGCATTTGAGTAAAATAATCCTCTTCTATTTTATATTCTTCCCACCTCTATTTTTGTTCTCCATTTCTTTTTAGGATCCTTGATAGGTTTTTCTATTCTGCTTGCTTCCAAAAGGGAAAATTTCCCCACATTTCCTATCACTCACTTTCCCAGCAGTGAGAAATCTCATTCTGGGATAGATAGCCAGTTCTTCACTGGGTATGTTCTTGTGATGTCAAATAAGCACCTCAAATTCAACATGTCCCCAATTGAGTTGATCCACGTATATCCTCTGTGCTTATAGTCCCTAGATTTGTTTGTCACTATTCATTTACATTCAAGCCAGAGCCTTAGAGTCCACCTAAATTCTTTGCCTTTCTTCACCCTCCACATGAAATACCAAGTACGGTTCATTTTATTTTCACCTCATTTTTCTAGTAACTTCCTTCCTCTCCACTTACCTCAAATATTCTAGCTCAGGCTCTCATTATCTCCTTCTTGGATTTTCTTTACTGATACGTGATGCATTGAATACAAGTGAAATAAGGGTACAATAAACCAAAGACCCCTACTAGGTCCAGCTAAGAATCTAAGGAAGACAGTCCTTTGTAATCCATCTCCAGATATGTGAACCTGAACTGTAGGTGTTCTTGGTCTTTGGTTTGACAGTATTTTTATTGTTTGCCCTCATTTCCCCATATTCTTGATCTGTTTCAGAACCTACTTGGTACTCTGACCACAAATCTAACCCAGCCACAGTGGCTTAGAAAGGATCAGGATCAAGCAGATACGTGATTGTCAAAGAGCACAGAGTTTGATGACCCACAGCTGGCAAGGGTATGGTGAAGTAGGCATGCATACATTATTTATGGGAGGTTAATCTGGTAGTACTTCTTTGGATGGTAATTTGGCAATGGCTATTAAATATAAAATTGATCCAGCAATTCCATTTCTAGGAATTTATCCTGCAGATCTACTTACACATGTGCACAAAAATGTATGCACCTAAGCAATCACTGTAGAATAGCTTATAGTTACAGCAAATAAGAACCAATATACATGCTCATTAAAGGTATAATGAATAAAGTATGTGCCAATCATACAGGGAAATACTATACAATTAAAATTAATTAGGTAGATAGGTATAAGAAAAAATCTCTAAGATTTTGTGATAAATGGCACATTTATATAAAAATTGCATACACACATACATATATGCTTCTATATGTATTGACTATACAAACACAAAATATACTGCTTGTGATCTATGAGCAGGAGATCAGGGATCCTAGGGTATGAGACCTACTTTTCACCTTACACTTTTTATACAGTTTGACTTGTTTGGTCATGTGCATGTATTACTTATCTCGAATAAAACAAAACTAAAGACCAAGTCTTGATAGACATAGTTTAAAATATTAGGAATATGTGCATATGTAAAACGGTATACACATGTGCCTTTTTTTCACATGGGAAGTAACACAAAGACATACACAAATACACAGCATATGTGAGTAGGTAGCTATAAACACAACATGTACTTTTTTTTGTAAATAAAGTTTTTTAAATCATCTTAAAAACATAAGATACCAAAATGTCCCAACCTATAGCAAGTATATTTTGATAAGGCATTCAAGATGTTATTTCATCTTTTCACCCATGATACTAGCATAAGTTTGCTTTTCAAAAACAAATATACAGAGTAATGTGTGCACAGCTAATGTTTCAGTTTCATCTGGTCTCTTGGAAGATTTTGACTTTGATAAATATATTCCTAGAAGACAATTAAGAAAAAAATAGATATGTAAGCATTTAAAAACCTTAGCCTAGTACTTAATTGCTAAAATGCTAAACAAGTTTTATTTTTTCTGCAATCCATCACATACACAATCCCAATAAAAGGAATACCCATGTATATAATAAAAAAATTGTCAATAACATCTACATTGAGCACAACAGCGGGCCTTTCTGTGTAAATGGCTGCCTGGATAGTGTTACCTAAACTTTAAATAAATGTTTACCCCCAAAAGAACTTCCCTGATTGTCCTGCCATGTATAGGCCAGTTTTGATTAGCTATGGAAGTCTGTAGCATAAATGATACCCAGGAAAGCAGGCTGTGTTATAGCAGCTTTAAACAAGAAGGCTGAGGACCTGGGGCTAAATTTTACTGAATAAAATAAAATTACTAATCAAAATTGTGATTAATAGGATGAACACCATTCTAAGATTTCTTGACGAAGAAAACATATTTTTAAATATTTTATGTACCAAAAATATACAAACAACAAACAACCAGGTTCCAAAATCCAAATGAAACAGGCCCCAAATGGTGGCAATCCAGATCTTAAAATGCATTTTCTAGAGCAGAGCTATATACCTGTTCTCTTATATATATGAAGGGTAGTTCCTCCAACCAGCCCCAAAGATACTTTTTAGCATATATTTTCCCAAAATACCATACATCTGAAATGTGTAGAAGACCTGAACATACTGTTGAAATATTGGTAAAAAAAGTATTGAATTGTAGGGGGTACCACCTCTACAACAGCCCAAAGAAAGAGCATATGTCACTCAAAGAACACAATTAAAGATTAGACAAAATTCTTTGTAAGAGGAGGCAAAAAACATGGTGGCGTTGGGAGAGGTACAGAAAAATCTTAAAGCCAACTTTCGATTGCCCAAAGATCACCTTTGATTTGTCTCTCTCTTTCTCTCTCTGCCTAAATACACTAAACACAGGTAAGCTGGGCACTTTCAACCTAGAAGACAAATGCCACAGTGAGTTAAAAAGCACAAAGCACAGCGTGAAGAAGAAAGTGAGCGGGGACTGGAAGGTAAATCTGGGCACTTTGAGAACACATTGGCCATCCTTAGCTCCAGAGGCCTGCGTAGTTCCCATGCAGGCCTGAAGGGAGAGGCCCTCCAGCCACAAAGAGCTTCATCTCAGGCCAGTTGTAGCAGTGGGTGTAGAGCGCGTTGGGGAACTCCCCTATACCGCCAAAGTAGTTCACCCACAGGTCATCGTGATTGAGCCAACCTCTGCCACAGGTGAGCTTGAGCTTCTTTCCTGAGGGCCCAGGACAGGAGTCTGGGCTGGCCGACGCCATCTCCTCCAGAAACTTCTGGGCACGGATGTCATAGAAGAGCAGGGAGCCATGGCCCGTGCCCACGGTGATGATGTGCTGGTAGAAACTCAGCGAACGCACCCCTGTGCCGCCCTCTCGGGAGCACAGGGGCCGGATATTCTGCTGGCGTTGGCGCGGATCTAGGAAGGAGACATGGGACTGAGAGCCAACCGCGTACAGGGACAACTCTTCGCAGTAGGTCAGGCACACATTCTCTCGGCAGTAGGGCAGCCTGATGGACAGCAGCCTGGACAGAGTGCTCCGGGCTTTCCACAGGTGGAAGTAGCCGTCCAGGGACACGGCTCCCAGCTCCTGGTTCTTGCCACTAAAGGCCAAGGCCCGCACCTTGCGGTTACTGGGGCTGGTGTTGGACCTGGGGATGGTCTCCATGTCCCTCGGACGGATGTGGGCGTACACAGGAAGCCCCGCGTCATTGTGCCAGGCGATGCTGCCATTGAACATGTCCGGGTCCAGCCGCCATAGAGCCACAGTGCCGTCGCGGGAGCCGCTCACAACCACTGTATCGCTCATCCAGGCGATGGTGAAGATCCAGTCCTTATGGCCGTGGCGGTCGCCCAGGCACACGGGGTCCAGGGTGGGCAGCTGGTAGACGGCCAGGCTGTTGGGGTTCTCTCCCCCGGTGGCCAGAAGCGTCTTGGAGGGACTCAGCTCGATGGCGTGGATACCGCAGCTCGGCTGGGCCCGGGCCAGCCAGGGCCCCCGGTCCCGCATCAGGGGGATGCGCGTGATTTGCCCCGAGTGCACGTCCACCACGAAGAGGGTGTTACATTTGGTGCCGCACACGACCTGCCTGGCGTTCAGCCACTGCGACGCGAACACCTTGTTGAGGGTGCCCAGGGCCAGCTCGCGCTCCCTCAAGAGTTCGGGCAGCTTCTGCACCGCGTAGCCGCGCAGTTCGCCCTTGGAGCCCGACAGCCCGGCGCCGCCCCGCGCGCCCACCTCGCGGTCCTTGAGGTAATGCACCAGCGAGCGCCGCGTCGCCGGCCGCTTCTGCTTCTTAGGCAGCAGCGGCCCCTCTGCGTCCGCCGCGGAGCCTTGAGAGGACGAGCTCTCGGCGGGCGCTTTCCGCTTCCTGCTACCTGTTTGCTGCGGGGCCATGGTGGGCGGCGGGC